AAGCCCTATACTTCCAACATTAACAAAGAACACATAGGATTCTTGTCTGGATGTAATGTTTGGGTTTGTTCCGTTTATTTCACCCACATTCTACTTTCTCAGCGATCAAACTGCAACACACTGTTAGGGATCCATCAATATTTCCATTTTAAATCTGAAGGATTTATGATTCAGCCTTAAAAATTCATTCTGCACTGAAACTTAATTTGCATGGTCTTAGACTAGGAATGTTTTTTCCTCTTACCAATTTGCCATACAACGGTTTCAGCTGTTTTCAGTTATACATATAAAAAAATTACTGCTCCATCAGTTTAAAATTGTTTTCTGCTCATATTTGTTAAAAATGGTTTTCATTTTGAAGCATGTGGTATTTGGCAAGTGATTAGTTCATAATAGAACCTAATTGCTTCTGTTATTCAAGGGGAACGGGGGAGGGGGGAAATTAAACAACCATGTTATGGAGGTTTTAAAAATAGGCCGTTGCTCGGACTCAGTATTTTTTTAATGGAATCTAGTTAGAATTTTATGATGTATCTAAGTACATATTTACATGATAGACCATATCCATCTTTGGCATAAATAATGTGCATTTTAATACAAAATTCTAAATGCATAGCAACACAGTAGGCTTTAATACTTCCAAAGCTGCCATTTACATCTACTGGGGAAGTAACAGTGGCCACAGTTTGCTCTCAGTTACATAGGTGATGTGCCAGCCTAACGAAGAGAAGAATTTGAACTCATGCCTTTTAATTCATTGTTGTATATATAAGGGCCAGATCCTTCTGCCATTAAAATCAATGGTAAAACTCCCATTTATCTTAATGGAAGCAGGATCAAACCCAGGGATGTCTTCAAGTATTTAGCTAACAAAAACACATGAGATATTTTACCAGTGTGAGTAGTCCCATTATATTCAGTTTGACTACTCACAAGCAAAAGCATTTGCAGAATCAGGACCCATAACCACTCCTTGAAGTCACTATTATATCAACGAATAATTCATAATTTTTCAAAGTATCTAATTACCATGCATGGTTAAACAACAGTCCATAGTGGATCGGAGGGGTATCTAGTAAATACTTGCCAAGAAAGCAATCCAGGCAGCATGAACCAGTAGATAGTTTCTGGACTGGGACTCAGAAGACTTGGGTTTTATTCCTAGTTCTGCCACTGACTTGCTGTGTGACCTTGGGCAAGTCACTTCGACTCTCTGTGCCAGGGTGGCCAAACCTACTGACCTTCTGAGCTGCATATGACAATCTTCAGAAGTTCGAGAGTCGGAGCACAGCTGCCGGGGCTCAGGCCTTCTGCCCTGCGGGAGGCACCTGCTGGGGCCTGGAGCTTCATCCCTGTTGCTGCTGAAGCCCCAAGCCCCAGCAGGTGTGCCCCGTGGGGCTGAAGCCCTGAGACCTGCCCTCCCTGCTAGGCAGAAGCCCCTACCCCGGGGTCGGGGGCAGCTCCACAAGCTGCACTTTAACAGTAAAAGAGCCGCATGGGGCTTGCGAGCCACAGTTTGGCCACCCCTGCTTTATGCTTTTGTTTCCCCTCACTTATTGTCTGTCTTGTTATTTTGTAGTGCTTGATACTGCAAAGGTTTATTCACATGTTCAACTTTATGCACTGTGAGTAATCTCAGTGGCTTTAATGATATGTAGAGTTAAACACATGCATAAGTCTTTGCAGTACCAGGGCCTCAGACTGTAAACGCTCCAAGGTAGGAACTTCCTCTTATTATGTTGTATTCCTGTCACAACAGGGCCCAAGTCTTGGTCGGGGTTTCTAGCTGCTACTGTTACATAAATAATAACAATAAGGGTAAATTTTGCTCTAAGTTACACACGTACAACTTCTTTGCAGTCAGTCATGCTGCATGTGTGTAATTTCAGAGCAGACTTTGGTCCAGTGAATCAAAAATCAGACTTATTTGCATGAATCAGCACAATCAACTGCTACCATTTGTTAGGTCAATGTCAAAATTGGCTCCACTCCTGCAATTTGATTCAGGCAGGGGAATCCCTATGACTGAACCAAGACCCATTCACTTACATAGATATAAGGATCCACCAGTGATGACACAATTGCAGGATAGGAGCCTATATTTATAGAGATTGGGTTTTTTTTTATTATCATTAAAAGAAAATCAGGGGGATAAAACATCTTGAGGGATTTAAACCCAGAGAAGCTAAAGCTATAAACACTGCTTTCCCTTCCACCTTCCTATGTTCCCACCAAAATAATGAAGTGTCAGCCCAAAGATTTGTCTTACATTTGTATGTATTTACTTTGTGGGTTTAAATTAAATATATAAGAGTGATAGGCACCATGTGAAGCTGGATAAAATTATGTCACAGTTTGTTTGTTAAGAAAAAAGGTCAGAAATCCCAAAGAATTCAAGAGATCCCAGGAAGGAAAAGAAATTAAAAAATGCTGGAAAACTGTTAATTTCCTAACAGAAATGAACACCTTTCATTCATAATAATGAGCTGGTTTGCTATTGTGAATGGAAAGGTCATAACCGTATTAAACTATATTCCGTAAGGCTAAATGAAATTCAGTGGAAATATACAAACTTCTTGAACACATGGAATTTTTAGACTTTTTGATTTTCTTTTACATAAAATGTTTATTTTCTCCCCCCGCCCCCGATAACAACCAAGATTTGGGGGGGGGGTGAGTTTGAAACAAGAAAAATATTTTTAAATTATTTATTGATCAGATTTGATACAATAATTGAAAACTGATCTTTTCTGAACCAGAAACCATGTTGTGAACCCCAACAAAAATGGTTCCTAATAAAACTAATAGGAGATCTGCTAGTTGAATATAATCTGAGTAGTGGATTGACAGTCAGGGTGTTAAAAAAAAAAAGGGAGAGAGAGAGAGAGAGACATTCTTTTGCAAGTAGAAAAAAAGAGTTTTTGATACATTTCCAATTTTTCTACTTTCTGAGTCCTCCCCAAAAATTTCCTTTAATTAGCAACTCTGAGATTCAGTCTGTTCATGTATTGACACACCAGAATTATGTCAAGGAAGCAAAATCCAGAATTAATATTTCAAAACTGCACCTAATCTTATCCAACTTTACAGCTATTCCCTGTGCTTTCCATCTGAAAAAGGATCACACACACACACAAAGGTACAGCAATTCAAAAGTCAATGTTGTTGTGACTGTTCAAATGAAATTTCATTTGGAAATTATTTCCTTAGGTTGATTTCAGGAATCATGTTTTTGAAAACTGCATCCAAATCGAATGAAATGCAAAGAAGTGCACTCAGTTAATTTTTGTATCATTCATTTCCTGTGGAGGACATTATACCTTTATCATTTAATTGTTGACTATTCATGGAATTTCTGAAGAAAAAAAGGAGTTTGGTGCTATTCATTAATTACTGATGAGACTTGAATTTATATGAAGAAAATGAACAAAAGAAATGATATGTTTTGAAACTGGAAGTCCTAAATAGTCTTAAGGAAAATGATTTTTAATATTTCTGCTAAATTATCCAAATCTCTGATATAACTACAAAAATGAACGCGCCTTTACTTTTATGGAAGACAACATGATTAGAGCAAGAAATTTGAATATGCTAATAAAGAAAACCAAAATGGTTAACTTTTCCTTTAAAACAGCGTTCAAAAGAATTTTTTACGTTTATCACTTATTATTATCTTAATTAAAAAAAAATATTAGTGTGGACTTATAGGTCTTTGAAAAGAAACTAAGATAGTAGAGTAGGTTTATACTACCTTACACCTTTGGTTCAAAAATGGAATTAGTTGTTATTTAGTTTAATCCCTAGTGGATAAATGTATTTATTACAAAATATCCACTGAATTTGGCATGAAATGTTTATTCTTTAAATCACAATAGTTTCTTTATAATCTGACAACAATACTATTTATAAAAATCAATAATGAAAAAACACAAAAGTTTAGAACAATTTCATACTAGATTAAATAACTTGTTCCAGTTCAATAGAGAGAGGGCCAAAATGTCAGCCATTTTGTCTTCTACATTGGTTGTCATATGAAACAAGTTAAATAAAATGTACTCCATATATAAGAAAAATTGATTTATTCACAAGCTTATGTACTAACGGGTACATTTTCACAATGTTGTACAAGAAATGCTTAAACAAACTGCATACGAAACTAAAGTTGTTTTTCTGCATGTTCCACATGCTATTTTGAACATTTACACTGCAAATATAGAAATGTAAAGATTATATTCTAGACGACTTTCAGACACAGGTATACATAATGCAATCCTGCCTTGATGTGTTATTAGCAGTTAATAGCTAAACACATTCTCCTTCTGGAGATCTCTCCACTCACAGTGTAGGAGCTGAAGTAACAGTATTTACAACTATAGAATAATCATCTGAATTTCAAAGTCTCATTATCACGGATCTGTCCTAGACTTTGCCCTTTGAATCTAACCTCATCATTGAACTCTCTGTACTCAGAAGCTTATGTTTTCGTTCCAGTTATGAACTACATTAAATGATAGAAGTCACGCTGGCACCAAAATGTCAATAAGGTCAAATTTTAATTTGCCACACATGAACTACAGAACTGCATACAAAAACTGAGAAGATGGGAAGCAGAAACAAGTGTTGTCAGAAAAACAACGTCATAGATTTTGCATGACATTCAAGGTTACCACCTACATGATTAGGATGCATATAGAATTGTGCTAAGTTTGCTAAGAGAGTTTGGGACTTGTCCTCATTTGGATTGTTTTAGTTTTTAATTTACATTGTGCTTAAGTGTGATAGAATTTTTAAATATTTTGAGCATCCTAACAAATGATATATATAAGCGATAGAAATTAGTTGGAAAAAAAGAAAGAGAAAAGAAAAAATGTATGAAATTGAATGGCTTCTAGAATATCCAATCCCTATTTTTTATCATTGGTTGGGTCATTAGCAAGGTCAAGTCAGATAACTTGTTTATCAAATCTCTTCACTATGTTACAAAAAATTACAGCTATTAC